ATGGGTTTCCCTGTGGCTAATATCAGCTCTGTTACTCAGTTCACCATTAGCCTTTTTAATGAAAGCATGACCCCTATCTGCTGCCTGGCCCCCGACTGTCTCCCTTTTGGCCCGTCTAAAGCTCTGGACATCACAAAGCAAGGTGATAGAAAATGTCACTTCTTGTCCTTATTCAATACGATATTAGCAATAATGACTCCTCTGAGGCTTATGCACAGCCAATGCTTGAAGTGGTGGTAAAAAACAGGACTATAAGAGGATTTTGGTCTCTTCTTACTGTAGACTTTGTGTTAAAACAGAGTTTTCTTTAATATGGTGGGTTAAAGAGCAACTGAATACTTTTTTTTTTTTAATTTGGACAACAGATTCTGAGCTTGACAGCTGTTGCTCCACATAAAGTTAGCATTAAAGAGCCACTCTGCTGAAAATCATGTTTTTCTTGTTGTCCACCTGTTCATATGGCATTTTTCTGATGCTACAGGACATAACCAAACAGCAGGTTCAGATACAGTGGGATTTCCAACCAAACAATCCCAAGCTCCACCCCCAGAGCCCCACTATGCAGGCCAGAGGAGAGGACAATCGCTCGTAAGAAAGCTAATTATGATATTAGCTTTCATCATGTCCCCAAAGACATTTGTGTCTGAGAGCTGAATAGCATCTATGTTACCACTTCTAGTACACCGGTAATCGAAAGTTACGCATGTAACTACGGTTCTATGAACAAAGAATAAGGGACTGAACCCTCGTTGACCGATGGAAGAAATAACCTCTTCTGGGTCATCACGGGGTCACAAGTGACGTTGTTGGTATAAACACTCGAACTGCGCATGTGCAAAGGGAGTCATTCAGTGCTTAAAGCACCGCCTCTGGCGGTCAGAAGGGGATGAAATAGAAGTTAGGTTGCAAGCTAACCTGAAGAGGAGTGTGCAGAGCAGTGCTGTCTCCGCCCTCGACTCAGAGGCGAATTGCTAATGATCTACTGGGGCTCTGCAGAAGAAAAGCCCTTGAAAACCATGACTGGTAAACATACACACATAATCTTCATCCTTGTTTCCAGAAACAGACACCTGCCTTCTTGGTCTAATCTTAAGGAAAGTGGCTTCAGTGTGAATATATTGTTTAGGTTCCTGATCACTGCCTGCTGTCTGCAGTTTGCCATTGAGGTAGGTTACTAATTGATCAGACAATGTGATGATTAATGATGTCATTAATGGGGGGTAGCCTGATGCCTGTTGAAGTTGATTACATGTTACGCGTTTCATTAGGGGTGATTAAATTGAGAAGATGTATATCAGTGTAAAAGCTGAGCAGTGCCAACAACAGTGTGTTTAACCATTGAGATAAGGTCATGTACACAAACAGAGAAGAGACGGGCAGACATGTTTGTCTCATGGTCGGTATAATCAAATGTTTGGATGATAGTGGACATAGCAGAACCAGCTCACCAAACTTATGTATTGTATGTTGTTGTGTTTTTTTTCTTTCTCAATTAAAACTATTACAGACTGTAGCCCTGAAAGTCTATAAAGCCATTATTTGCTTGAAACCTGTCCTCCCAGCTGTGTCATTACTCCCTTGTTCCTTTGGAGCTGTAATCCTAAGGACTTTAATAATTAATGGCAAACTATTCTTCTAAGTGCTGCTCTGGAGCTGCAGCTCTAACCACACGACTTTATTACAAACGTGTCCAAACCACCCTTTAAAAGCCACAATGATTTCTCCAACAAACGTTTCTATTTCAGTCAACAGCACTTCTGGGAACTGCTAATCAGGAAGTAGTTATCACCTAATTCGTATATTTTTCAAGGGGGCTTTCCCCCCTATTCCAGTGCAATGAGAAATACGTCCATGTTTTTTTTTTTTTTCCCTTATCCATGCACTGATTTCAACGCATCCTCTGAGGAAAGCTTTTTTCCACATTTGCAAATGTAACTTTAAGGAGAGAACAAGGGGAAAAAATGTGTTTGAAGCAGAGCTGCATTAGTGTTGGTGCAGGACAAACCAGTGGTTGTTAAACTGTGGGTTGGGCCTCTCAGGGGGATGTAAGGCTGATATGCAGGGCGTTTTACTGACTAAAGAAAATAAATGGGAGTGTGAATTAAATCCATTTCTTTTTCAGTTATCGGGTTCCTTTGTGTTGGAGCAGTGTCAGCCCTCCTCCTCCTTCTCCTCTTCCCCTGAGATCTTGTGTCAATTTGCTTGTCTGGCTTTGTGTGAAAGGCATCTTAAGACCCCTCACTGTTGTTAATGTGGCCTACCCATCCAGGACTTTGTGATATAAATAAGGTGGTCAGAACCCATGGGTGCTTGTAGGCACCTGAAAGTTGTTAATATAATTACAGATTTCTCAATCTTCATTGCTCAGATAAAGTCGCTCATTAGTGCAGTTGTGCTGTGCTGTTTGTGTTTTGGCAAATCTTTTAAGACGTGCACTCCAGAAAATTTCAGGGGCTTTTACATGGAAATTTGTCGGGCTGTACTCTTCACATATTCAGCCTCACAGAGTAAAGCCTCCCTTGTCAGACAGGAGGCGTGGCTGATCATGACATCAAATAGACTCCACTCCATGTACTGTTTTACAGCCCCATTCAAGATTAAAACCAATGATCATTGGGCAATCAAGAGTTTTTACTTTCCTTTGGTCCTTATACGCTCCCTCTCTGGGTTCAGATCATATGGAGGTACAGAGTTTTTTTGACAAGGAGTATTGGTCCACTGACAAACAGCTCTCCAACAATCTCAAATAAGTTATATTATAATATGTATCAAAGTGCAATAACATGCTGCCTATTCAGCAACTGTATCGCTTGATAACCTGAATACATTATCGATCAACACCAAGTGACAACCTTCATTATCATTTCGCACTACAGATGAATTTTCAACTAAGTAGCGAAACTATACAGATCACCAGCCGCATGAAAACTTTAACATCCCTCATTTGTTACCCCGCCACTTTTCATGAGATTTTCAGCAACTTTAATGGATATTCTGGTGTAAATTTCAGTTAGGGTCAAACACACCGTAACACTGAGTTAGACACCCCCTCGAGAGATGAATGTTGCTGACTGCTTGCTTCTCTAGTTATACCAACTTTAGTAACGACCGTACGATAGCAATACACAGCAGTTTACTTCTCCATGTGCAAACCTCGACCAAAAAGCCACTCTATAGCTACAACTAATGCTCAGAACAGCACCTAACTTCATCAACAGCACATATAGGGTTCCAGCCATAGCACTAGCCACCAAACATCTTTTTTTTATTTGCTTGTTTTCTTTAGCAAAGAAACTAAACACAACTTACCCACTCTCCTCCAGCAGCCGCTTGTTTGTGGAGGAGCCCTGATGAGTCAATCACAGAGTGCAGCGGATCATTTCCATGAAGTAATAATCAGCAAATTAATTATTTTGCACTGCAGACGCTGTAATTCTTCTGCCTTAGGGTCTCGGTCTGATTGCATTTCCATGAAGTAATGATCATCAATTTTCTTCCTTGAGCTGCGAAACTCCGCTGCACTCAGTGATCGGCTCGTCAGGGCTCTCCCACAAACAAGTCGCTGCTGGAGGGAGTTGGGTGACTTAAACTTAAATTTACACTGGAATATCCCTTTAATGCATACCTGACAGGGGCATATGGTTCAGGTTGGAAAGGTAAACAAATTTACGATTTGGGAATTGAATGATACAAATAAAGCTATTTTAAATTTATCAATGGAACATTAATAACCCAGATTGCTTTATCTATCAACAGCAAGGTAACAAAATAACTTTAGAATCTTAAGTTAAACACAAGTGATGTTTAACTTGAGCTTACTGTCAGTAAAGAAGCGGGCATTTCATGGTCTGTATAATCTTAGTTGAAGAAGATTTAACTCCTTTAATCCCCAGTGTCAGGAGTTTGCAGATTTAGCCAGTTTGCATATAGAAGTTTTCTTTGACTGAGAAGCATTTTACAGACATGAAACAACAACATTTTATATCCTCAGGTTGTTTTTTATCGGAGGAAAAAAAGAGATTTCTAGAGAGGAAACAGGACAGTGATAATAAAGGCAGACACTGACACAGCATGTGGTCTTTATCTTCTTCCGTCTTACAGGAACACAACTGCACACTCTCTCCTGTTCTCCCTCTATCTCCTCTGTACCAGCCACCCACATCAAACAGCAACACACACACACCTTTCTCCATCCTCCTCCCTTCTCTCTTCTCCTGCACTTTCTCTCCCTCCCCCCTCTTCTCTGCGGGTGCTGATACAGTGCACTAATCACCAGCTCGATAAATCAATGGCCCGGCCAATAACCATTACTTCAAATTAGAGCGGCTCGCTCCTGTGAGGGAAAGCAGCTGACACCTTCATAAAGGCGCCTTTCATTAGCGGCTATCGACCTGGCCGAGCTAGCAGAACCTGCAGGACAACACACACAGCAGGTGGGGGGGAGAAACAACAGGAGGGAGGAGTGGGAGTGAAGAAGAGAAGGAAGAGACAGACCGCGAGAGAAAGAGAAAACCCAAAGTTGTTTCCAGTAAATACATCTTGGCTGAAGATAAAGTCCCTTCTGCCAGAATGTATCCTCCTTGAACAGATGGGATTGGGTTCAGCACTTCGAGAGAGAGAGAGAGAGAGAGTTACTGTATGCATGTGTTTGTGTGTGTATGTCTTGTGTTTGGAAGGGATTGGTGAATGCCGTAAAATGGCAGCCTCTCTGTCTCTCCTTTCCTCCCATCTCTTTCACTCTCCCCCGACTTTCAGAAGCGCCAAAGTAGTGCACGGATGTGGGTCACATGTAAATCAGCGTGGCGGGTCGAGTTGGCGTTTTCTCCCTGGTGGAATCCCCCCAGCTGCGCATCATCTCAGCTTGCTTATTGTAAGGGAGCTGCTCACACTGCTGCTTTATAGATCACTTATGTAAGGGCAGACTTCCGTTTTTTTCTCTCCCTCTCTCAGTGTCTTTGGTTTCACCCCCTGACCAACAGATGGCAGTGTGGGATAGCAACCTGGAGCAGTGAGTGTTGGTCATCATTGTCCGGTCTGCTGCATCACAGAGCAGAAGGTAAGCTCAGGTCGACACACATACTGAATGTGTGCATCTGCCTTTGTTTTCTCTAAATCCAGCTCTGTATGATGAATCTAGAAACCCACAGAGAAATATAACCACAGATATTAAAAGGACTTTAACGTGATCTTATCCAGCTTTAGCAAACACAGATGTAATATATTTCTCTTTAATGATTCAAGTCCCAGCACCACTAAATGTTTTTGCTGACTTTTGTGCAGAGAGGAGTGTTTTTATCTGCTTTTGCTTGGTTGGACTTGGTGAATGGTTTGTGTGAGTGTCATCTGCTAATGTGAGGAATCAAGGATTTCAGACTCAGTAAAACAGAAAGAAAAAACATGTCCAAATCAGTACCACTGCGATCACGTCTTTTTCTTTTAAGTTATCGTTGTGTTCCAACCCCTAAAAACACACGCACACACAGCACAGTAAGTTTTCCTCTCATTATACAAAAAAGTATGTTTCAATCCGCCCACTACCATTCCTCCTTCTTGTGTCTGATCTTTCAACAGTATCAACAAGCAGCATGTTTTACAGAGATGCCCAAATGTTGATTTATTTCAAAATCTTCATCCTTGTTATCACAACAGGTAATCTGTGTAATGGCAAGGCTTGTTTAAGAAGTAATGAGTTGCAGTGATTCACAGACAGTGCACTGACATCAGCCAGCTGCACGTATACAGGATCAACTCAACAAATAAGACTCATAACAAAGTTCCATATTTTTCATCCCTGTCTTAAGAAAGTGAATTGTGGTAAAGGAGCCTCTGTAGGTAGAAATGAGCATTCTTTTCAGAAATTGGAGATTTGATCCTCTTCATTGATCTCTGTACTGGATTTCTGATCTCTATGTACTACAAGCCATGCTCATTAAACCTGTGCACCTGTGGGGAGCAACATGTGACAGCTAGTTCAGAAACACTAATGCAACAAATACCATGTGTAATTTTCACCATCACTTTTTGTAAATGGAGAGAGTGAAATGTGAATTTATGAAAATAGCCGAGCATGTGTAAATGTAGTCTGAGAGGACTGCTTCACAACCCTATATCATGGCTTAACCGTTAACACCTGTGGCATGTTAATTAGCTGGAAAACAAGCTAATTGGCTGTTGTTTTCCCCACAGGGTGAGATCTGTCAAGGTGTATGATTTATCACCCCGAAGGACATGAGGGAGCCTTTCTGAACTTGAGGACTGTACGCTAACTAGCCCACATCTGTAAAGGGTGAATGATAACTGATCTCTTCATGCAGGGGTGGAGATAAAACAACTCAAACTTCTCCAAACCTCCAAAAAGTGATTTTGAATATGATGGTTAAAAAGGCTCTTACCATCCGTCAGTGTGTTTATCTATCCATCCATCTATTCATCCATCCATCCATTCTGTCTGTTCATATATCCATCCATCTGTTTAATCATCATCCATTGATCCATCCACCCATCCATTCATCATCCAGTCATCCATCCGTGTATATTTTTTATTCATTGTCCACTCTCTTGGGTGAAATATAACCCATATATAAATGTAAAACCCTTGGAAGTCAAATGATGAACAATTCCTCCAAGTATAAATGTGAGTTTTACGGTGAGTAGAGTTAATTTAGAATTCAGTCGCTCTGTATTAAAGAATGAATCCCTTCTGTCCTCCTAAAACAGTGATAGAACGTCAAATTTCACAGTTAATTATATCCAAGCAGGAGGAGATGTAATTTGTTAAACAAGTCACTTTTGAAGCAAAATATCGTAAATGAGTCAATTTGAAGGTACATTAAAAATGTTGGATGGCATCCTATGTAAAGTCCCAGAGTGTCTTCACAGATTAGGCTGTGTGCACAGGTAAATGTGATTTATTTTGTCGGAGAGCAGGTCTGTTCCTGTGTGAACCAAACTGATGTGGAATATGTGAAGTTCTGATGAATGTTTTAATATCAGTTAAAATGATAATGAATTTTATCTAAGGAGATTTTTCTCCTTAGATAACTACGGACTCTTCCTTCAGTCAGCTTTTGACTACGAGTGATGGGCTCTTACATGAATATACAGTTTTTCTGTTGGAGAGCAATTTTGAATATGTCCTTCAGACTTGATTGGAGTAGATGCCCAGAAGCTCTATGTATCAATCAGTATTCAGTAACATCATTTAGGATTTAGCATTTTACATCCATCAAAAACAAGTGAAAATGATTCTCTCAGGAACTGACTGTGGCAAAAGACTCAATTGCAGACATGTGGTTCCAACAGGCAAAACACAGGTATATTGACAGTCCAAGATCGGTACACAAGAAAGCAGAATCACAGGCAGAGGCGTCCAAAATGCTAGGGTAAAAGCAGGGTCAAAAACTAACAAGGTTGAGCTCAATGACTGAGATAACTAGAAGAAGTGCTGGAACGTGATGATAAGTACAACGAGATGGTGACAGGACCATGAGAGACATAAGGTTAAGTACAAGGGGTAATGAGGGTGATGGGAGACAGGTGTGGAAGAACAATCAGGCGGCAGGTGTGACAAGACGGGGACAGGGCAGACAGGAACACATCTGAAACAGAGACAGGAGTTAGTGACTTTACAATAAAACACACCAGAGACAAAAGACATGAAATGAACCAAATAAAGATAACTTGACCCTGGTCATAACAGATTCACTCAAAAGCATTGTCCATGAACTCCAACTCCATTGTGTTTCCCATTTTGGATAGTACAAAGGCACCAGAAACATTTGTGTATGTTAACAGAGGCTAGTCCATCTCCCATTGTCTTTATAATAGGGTGACCATACGTCCCCTTTTATCCGGACATGTCCTCTTTTTTGGGGGGGCTGTCTGGGTTTGTCCGGTCTGCTTTATAAGTTTGATGTGAAATGCAGTCAGATGTAATCATTCATTAGACAGAACTAGCCTCCCTGCTTTCTATCGGGTTTCTATCCATTTGTAAAGATATGGTTAGGGATAAAGGACTCTGGGGAAAGAAAAAAAGGCTGATATTCTGATTTAGAAAAAAAGTTAAAATTCTGAGAATAAATCAGAATTCTAAGAAGAAAGTCACATTTAAAGTTAAGTTTTTAGAGTACAACAGAATTCTAGAATTACAAAAAGTCAGAATTCTGAGAAACACGACAGATTTTTGGTTGAAGCCAGAATTTTTTTTTTTTTCTCAGAATTTCAAAAGAAAATTTTATTCTGGGATTAAAGTTGGAATTTCTGAGACCAAAGACACATATCTGATTTTTTTTTTCACAGAGTTCTAAATTTCTCTTAGAATTCAGATTTTTATCTCAGAATTTTGACTTTGTTCCAGTAGTTTAATCTTCTTCCATAAAATGAGTTATAAAGCCTTTATTGTCCATTGCTGGAAGCTGTGGGGCGCTCCTTAGTGCTTGTTTCAAAGATGGACCTAATCATACTCTCATCGGCATCATGTGACAAATTAGCCAAGCTTTTTGTCTGTAAACGTTGCAACTCCAAAGAGTTTCATCATCTCTGAACTTGTTTGCTGCTTATTTAGCCCATATTAAATTTGGAAGAACAATCCTTTATATCTGAAGCAAAGCTCACACAGAAGCCTTTATTTCCTTCAAAACAGAAATGAACAAACTTCCTATTGGTGATTAACTTTGGCATAACAAATGCTTTCTTTCAAATGCTGAGTTCAAAACCTCAATACCATCAAGAAATTGCTAACTAGCACTAGCAATATGAGATGACCAGTTCTCTTTCACAGTCTCTTTTGTAAATATCAAGTCTCTTTTTCCTCCCCAGGGCTGTTTATCTTCCCTCTTCAGCATGGTGTCGACCATTTGTCTCTATTTTAGCAGCTGAATTTGCGATGTTAAACATAACTCAAGTCTCTGAAATGTAGATGACGACCCAGTTCCTCACTGATTGGCAGTCTACCAGTGACTTAAGCTCATCACATTTTCCCACCGAACAGCTTCCCTGTCCCCCGCCTGTCTCACAGCTAATTTTATTGATGGCGCCTTCTTACACAAGACAGGAGTCACTTCGATTTTCTGCAGCAATCTTGTGCAATTTTAACACATTTTCTCCTCTTCCAGGGCAGTGAACGTTAGCAGTAAGTATATCATAATTAAAGGAAAATTGGCGATAGTCGAACTCTGATTGAAAAAAGACAATTAAAAGAGCCGTGAGATGAACCACCTGAGCCTTGCTCAATCAATGGAAACAGCTGGACTCTTTTGTTGTCGAAAGAAAATACCATATGAGAGGTGCTATCAGAAGTGGACAATAATTTCATAACTCCAGCTCTCCTTTCTCAATGTAGGTGGCTGCTCTGGATGAGTAATTTCTACTTAGAGATATAAGGGCGCATGGAGAGAAAGTCAGAAGTGGAGGTGAGAGGAAGGTGGATGAAGGAGAGAGAGGTGTTGGAAGACAGGAGCTGCAAGTGAGTGCAGGCACTTAAGGACTATTTTTATCGCCCATTCTACCGGCACTTACAGGTGTCTTTGTCTCCCCTGCTTGGCTCTAAATTTACAGAAATAATAGGCCAATCAAAACCCATATTTCACATTTGCAGGAGCCTAATGCTGTTATTTCTATACATTTGCTTGTCACCAATAGCAGCATTCTTCGAGGGTTATCTAAATCTTATTTGATGGCTTGCCACAGAAGATATAGAATCAGCAATAGTAAAATCTTTTTGTTTGACTAACTCTGCCAGCATCTGTTTTACAGTTTGTATTTATACCCACGGAGAAGAATATATATTAACTCCTAAGTACAACATTTAACAGGAGGGATGCTGACATAGGTGGCTGATGGTAATGGATGGACAAACAACCCAGAATATCGACCCAAACAGCATGGGTTTGAGTCTAAAGAAAATCAAAGTAAACCTAACCAAATCCATAATGAGCTCAACCAAACAGACTCTTTCACAATAATCTAATATAAGACAGATAGCAGGGCTCCAAGTAAATACCTGGCGTGTTAGAGACCCCAACTAGGGGCTGTGGAAAAGTAGTATTGATGACTATGGCTGAAATTGGTTGGAGAATAACATGCACTTTGTCTAAGTGAAAAAAGGAATTTAAAACTCTGTGCCCATGTCCGAATGAAAGCTCCTGTGTGGGTTTTTACTTTGATTATTTATCTCTTTGCTGATCCTGTCTTGTACATGCTTAAGTTGTTTTCTTTTCCCCATTAAAGCTTTTATTTATCTTTTTTTTCCTAATGTCTAGCTGCTCACTCACAATAAATCTGGTTATGAATAATTTAGGACAGCCAGTTTTGGCAGACTGTGGCTAATTCCTCTGTCTGACATCTACCCAGTTGCAGGGGTGACAGAGATAAAACCAAATTATAAAATGTAATCAGTGTCTGATGGTCTTGTTTACTTTTGGAGGTCACAAAAAGGTGTTGGTATTAAATTCTGTCTGAATCCTTTTCAGTTACAAGACTTTTCAGAGAAACTAAAGAGTTCAACCTCAAATCATTCACACCGGTATGACAACAAGTGATGGAAAAATGTTGTCTAACATGTCATTTTGTCTTTTGAAATGGCTAACTACCGTATTTTTCGAGCACTAAGGCGCTGTTTGGTCCGCTTTAAAAGGACCAGAGTTCGTTTCCTCTGATAGTCTGCTTCGTTTGGGCAGGTGTGAAAGCTCAATCCCAACTCTGGTGCGGACGAAACAAGCGAACTCTGGTCCGCCTGAAAACATGGGTCTCGGTTCGCTTGCAAGTGAACCCTGGTTTGGCTCGTATGCAGTGTGAAAGCTCAAACACAGGACCAAATGTACGTAATGACTCTATATGCAGTGCATACACAGTACATCTTGGGTAGAGGAAGAACGGCGTCACTTGTTGCTATGGCAACATGTGACCGCTGACATTAGCAGTTGCTAGCTAGCTTAGCTTAATTGTCTGAACAACAACAACCCATAAATTCACAATTTGGCATATTTAAACAAAATAAAATCACAACTATCAACAGTCACAGTCCTTAAACTCATATGTTGTCACATGTTTGATCGTCAAAGTTAGAAAAATAATAGGATCAATCCCTGATAAGCTACGATAGCATTATAGGAACAGTTGCGCTCACTAGCGATGTAACATTCCATGAAATAATGTGATGAAGCACAATACAAGACGGCTAGTCCACCCCTGTTTGTAATCTGTGAGGTTACATACTCCTCCTACTTTGTCCAATCGACGAGTGCCCCTTTCAACCACGTGATGCTGCTCGGAAAGTTCAGTGCGCTTTACAAATCATAGTGTGAAAGCAGAACCGAAACAAGTGATAAATGCAACAATGTTGCGACTTTCAGCTCCCCAATCGAACCAAGTCTGCTTGGTCAGGTGTGAAAGCGGCCTAACTCCTCACAGTGTGTCTCTTTAAGATAGGCAATGCATATTACAACATACAATATTTAAACATACAGAACCATCCACCCTCACATTCTCAGGCGTGTGCTCCCTTTGACAAGTGAAAGGATAAATGGTAAAATTGATGCCTTTTGAGGGTAAAACAAGCTGAACTGGATTTGTGGCCTGTGTGCAGGGGCAGCAGTGATAGTCTTTCTGTGTATTTGCAATCTAAAACTTGACAACTATTCAATGGATGGCTGTGATATTTGATAAATCCTTCAGAGGAGACCAAAGAATCAATCTTATCAGTTTTGGAGACTGCACAATTTGGCATTTATATTGCTGCTGTAAAACAACATGACAAAAAGAAGACCTCAAGTGACTCGGCTCCATCTTCTTCTGAACACTTGGTATGTTAACAAACAGGACTGAAATATCAGCCACAATTCTAATGTTTCAAGTGCAAACAGAAAAGTAACATCAGAAAAATTTAGAGTATAAGGCTAAAGTGAATTGTCTTCCCCCTGTAGAAAAAAAAAAAGATATATCATATGCATAATCTGCTATAAACACTCTTGAGTGGTTTGCTCTAAAAACAAAATCACCCCGCTGTCTTTCAGTTGTCAAATGTCTGCCCCCCTTTGAATCCTTCCTGAAATACACAAACAAGGCAATGTCTGATCTGAGTGCTTCAAATAGCACCGGAAGCAGTGGGACCAGCACAGAATCTAACTGTAAAGAATCAGTGGATCTTCTTGTTTGTTTTTGTCAGTCATTTAGAGGCATCGGTATTAATTACTGTCTGTTTTATAAGCAGTTAAAAACTCCTCAGAGTGTGTTTAAATATATGGTTACAAGCTGTCTGTCGCCCTCCCAACCCAAACACGGATTTTTCGTCAAACAACCTTTGTGAATGCTAAACACCCAGGAGCTGTGGGATCAAGGGAACAAGCGTATATGCAGTATTAATTTACTTCATAATGCATAACACAAGTGCTCACAGGTGCATCACAGATGGGATCCTTTGCTGCTTGGACTCAAAACTACATCAGAAGGAAAATTAAATGATGGCTCCATTAGGCCAAAGATTTTTAAGCCTCATGCTGGGATCATGAATGCAACTTCTCTGTCTTTTTTTTTTTCTGTGAACTAAAAGAAGCAAAACAAAACACATCTGTAAACGGAGTGTTTTGTGGTGTCTGCCCTGTCTTTGAACTGATTGCCTCTGAGGCTCTTTTTCTGTTTTTACCCTCTAACACTTTGACTTGCTAAAAGCCACTTTACACAAATCCACACAATGCAGAACACTAGACCCACGGTCGCTGTAACACATGAAATATGAATGTAATTTTTAGTTTTATGTGCATGTAGTGCCAGTAGTAAGTAACTTTTTATTCATTTATTCAAATGATATTCCTGCTTCTGGAATAATTTCAGTTTTGATGTAAACACTCTTTAAAAGTCGTTGTCTGGTGTTTGTGAGCGTCCTCGATGTGCGCAGCTGGAACAGACACGGTGAGTGGCGTCTTGAGGAGTGTGCCAATGAGACAGCGGTGAGGTGGAGATGTTTTACAACAGCACAAGGGGAGCTCTTTGAAGGCAAGCATTTTTTTTTGTAATTAACATTTTTTTATTGTATTAATATGGCACTCAGGAAACCATATACATTCATAGTAGGCATACAACACATTTAACCCCCCCTCCACCCCCCACCCATAAACAAACAAACCAAAACAAAACAAAACAAAAAGTCACCCAACTTTACAAATGATTCTTGGCTGTACATAAATGTAGTTCTCATATCACAGTAGCTAGGTATGCACAATGAGATAAAATGAAACAAGAACAAACAATAAAATAATAGGATATTAAAAATAAATTTAAAAATAAATAAATAAAAGAATGCATCTCTCTACTCATACATCTGATGTTTTGTCCTCCAAGAAAGATAGGTATTTCCCCCATTTTTTATAATAAACCTCAAGTCTACCAAATGACTTCCATGACAACCTTTCCAAGGCTGCCACTTTAGCCAACTGAGCAGACCACTCCTGTGTTGAGGGCACCCCCTCAGTCTTCCATTCCCTGAGTAATATCTGTCTTCCTGTCATAATGCTAGTTTGGATCCAGCTTTTAATGTGCTTACTCCCCTCTGTTAGGACAGAGTCATCTCCCAAAACAAAAAGTCTGGGGCAGAATTGTATTGGAATCTCTGTTATCTCACTAATAAAGCTGTGAATCCATGACCAGAACTGCTGAACTTTATCACAGGACCATAGTGTATGTAATAGATAGCCCTCTGCAGCTTTGCACCGCCAGCAGTTTGAGTTCTCAATCAGACCTAGTCTGAACAGTCTAGAGGGGGTCCAGTAAAAGCGGTGCAGGATTTTGAACTGCATCAAACGCACTCTTGCATCCCTAGACATAGTTTTTATGTTCTTACAGATCTTTAGCCACTCCTCCTCTTCTATTCTCCAACCAAGGTCTCTCTCCCATGTATTTTTAAGTGCTAGCAAGCCTCCATCCCCAGTTGTCTGATTCAGCATAGAATAGTACATAGAGGCCTTGAATCCTTGCCTATAGTATCTCAGTATGTCCTCAAGTAGTCCAGCTGTCTTTGGAGCAGAATGAGCAAAAATGCTCATTAACATGTGGCGTAGCTGTAAGTACCTATAGAAATGTGACTTGGGGATCCCATATTGATGACTTAACTCATCAAATGATTTCAAAGTGTTGTTGGAGTATAAATCACCCAGAGTAGCAATACCCTTCTCCCTCCAATCCTTCCACCACACAGGGGATTTGTTAATACATAATTTGGGATTTAACCAGATACTAGAGTACACATTTAGAAAAGGATCTAGATTAAACAGTCTGGTAATTTTACTCCATATCCCTTTCATGTTGGAGAATATTGGATGACTTTTGATTGCCCCTGAGAGCTTAACTGAGAGACACTGGAGTAGTGGCACAGGGGCAATAGTTTGTTCAATAGAGAACCAGGGTGGAGCCCTCTCTGGTGGGAGTGACCAGTGGGCTAGATGTCTCAAACTAAAGGCGTAATAATAAAATAACATATTAGGCAATCCTAAACCCCCTCTATCAACAGGTCTTTGTAGTTTTTTAATATGTAAGCGGGGCTTCTTACCATTCCAAACAAATTTTTTCACTATCCTATCAAACCATGTAAAGTAAGTCATGGGAATCTCCAGAGGAATAGAATGAATTAAATAATTTAGTTTAGGGACACAGTTCATTTTAACCACATTAACCTTACCAACCATTGATAACTTTAGTGTTGCCCATCTACTGGTATCACAATCAATTTTATTTAGTAATGGATCGAAATTTACCTTAACTAGGTCTTTTAGCTGTGGTGGAAAGAGTATGCCCAAGTATCTTATACCCTGCCTGGGCCATTGAAATGCGCCTGGTTGGAAGGCTGGGGGTGGGCAGTAAGCTGTTAAAGGGAGCGCCTCTGATTTAGACCAATTCACCCTATATCCTGAAAACTTTGAAAATGAATTAATTATTCTCAAAAGAGCAGGCACTGACCGACCTGGTTCAGAGGCAAATAATAAAATATCGTCTGCAAAAAGCAGAAGTTTATGTACTTCGCCCCCTGCCCTTACTCCTGGAAAGTCAGTAGCCCTTCTTATAGCAGCTGCCAAAGGCTCTAATGCCAAGCAAAATAACAAGGGTGATAGGGGTGAGCCTTGTCTGGTTCCTCTCCCTAGGGTGAAATAGTCTGATATGAGTCCATTGGTTTGAACCGCAGCTTCTGGTTGATTGTAAAGTAACTGAATCCATTTGATAAACTTACTACCAAACCCATATATATCCAGTATTTTTAACAAATAGCCCCATTCAACCATATCAAAAGCCTTTTCGGCGTCTAAAGAAATGGCTGCCACAGGGGATTGCTCATCTGACACAGCCCACATTATATCAATAAAGCGCCTTACATTATCTGTAGAACTGCGGCCATTAATAAACCCAACTTGGTCAGGGTGAATCAAAGACGTTATGACTTTGTTCAAACGGTTAGCTAAGATCTTTGATATAATTTTTACATCCAACTGGATCAAAGAGATTGGTCTGAAATTTTTACATTCTGTGGGGTCTCTCCCTTTTTTAGGAACCAAGGTAATGAGTGCCTGTCTCATAGTTTGAGGTAATATCCCTTTTTCCAGTGATTCTGCATATAGATCTAGCAGCAGTGGGGCTAACTCCGCTGCAAAGCTCTTAAAAAACTCTGCAGTATAGCCATCGGGACCAGGCGATTTTCCTGCAGGCAGTGCTTTTATCACTTCTATAATCTCTTCTACCGTAATATCTTCATCTAGAATTTGTTTCTGCCTTTCAGACAATTTAGGCAGTTCTAATGGGTCAAGAAAAGCAAGCATTTCTTCCTCTGTTGAGGTAGAAGTAGAACTGTAAAGGCCCATATAAAATTCCTTAAAACACTTGTTAATATCTCCAGTTGATGTTAAGGTATCTCCACTTAACGCCCTGATCGCTGGAATAGTGGAGACCTGCTCTCTTTCTTTAATTAACCTGGCAAGCAGCTTCCCTGTTTTGTCCCCTGACTCAAAAAAGGTTTGCCTTGCCTTAAATAATAGAAATTCAATTTTTTTAGACAAGATAGTATTGTACTGGTACTTTAATTGTGTTAACTCCTTAAGAATATTGTTAGACATCCGTCTCTTTAGCTCTGCCTCTAAGCATTTAATTTTCCTTTCCAATTCCAGAAGTTCTTTAGCTTTTGTTTTCTTGATGGATGAAGTAACTGAAATAATGCGACCTCTGATGACAGCTTTCAGAGCCTCCCAGGCCACACCCATAGATGTACCTGTGGACCAGTTAGTCGCAATATATAAATCTAGCTCTGCCTTCATCCATATCATATTGTCAGGATCTTGTAAGATGGAGGAGTTAAGCCGCCATCTAGTAGAACGCTGTCTTTCACAATAGGGCTGGATTTCTAAACAAACAGATGCATGATCGGAAATGATTATATTTCCTATTGAGCAGGCAAGCACTGAAGGTACCAGAGGCTTTGATAATAAAAAATAATCTATCCTTGAGTATATCTTATGGACTGGGGAAAAGAAAGTGTAGTCCCTCCCACTGGGATTTAAGATCCTCCAAATGTCCACCAACCCCAAAGCTTTACACATTCGTTGCAGAGTAAGGCTTGCTCGTGGAGACCTACCCACTGCACCCCCACTATGGTCTAACACAGGGTCCATCAGTAAGTTGAAGTCTCCACCCAGTACAATGTTGTGGTTACCCATAGCATTAAACCTCCCCTCCAGATCTAGAAAAAATAAAGGATCATCTCCATTAGGAGCATATATATTTGCCAGGATAACAGTCTGCCCCTGAATTTCTGCCAATACAATAATGATTCTTCCTGAATTATCTTTTGTTTGTTGGATACATTTAAATTGTAAATTTTTATTAATAAGTATGGCAACTCCCCTACTATTGCTAGTCCCTTCACTATAAAAAACGTGACCAACCCAACCACTACAGAGTTTGATAGACTCTGTTGGCGAAAGATGAGTTTCCTGCAAGAATACCACATCACATTTATCTTTCCTAATGCTTGACATTACTTTTTTCCTCTTCACTGGATTCCCTAACCCTTTAACATTCCATGTAAAGAGACGCATATTACTCGTCTTAGACATATTTAGCACTAACAAAAAATGAACTTGCACATGGCTTACCACCAAGATCTTGAAACAAAACACTGCGTTGGTGACTTAACAAAAAACAACCCCAAAAAACCCTGACACATAGAATATGCATTAGAACCCGAACTCTGCATATCCTGTTACCCATTACGTTAACCTCGCTGTGGTCCATGACTCCTCTACGAGTCTCCCTCTTATGGGCCCCGCTGGCTCCACTGTTAGCATTCATTCAACCAGAACCATAGTGACGTCGCGTCCTTTTAGTAATATTAAACTGAGCAAAATCGTCAAACCTCGTCAGTCAGCACACAAGTATAATGGCAGTCTAAGTTATGAGTCCATTACTCTCGCCTTCATCTCCCTAAATACTCACGATCATTACATGCTGTCAATAAAAGTCATGGCTTTCTTCGGGCAAGAAAATGACTTCTCGCCGTCCTCGCACCTGACCTTCAATGTAGCGGGATACACCAGTCGAAAGCTCACCCCCCGGTCATGCAGCTTCTTCTTACAGTCTTTAAACTTATCCCTTTTCAGCATTGTAGACCGGGAGAAGTCCGGAAAGAGCATGATGTTGCTGTTGACCCAGGTCAGCTTCCCCTTGTTCCTGGCCGCTCGTAGCACTAAATCCCTGTCGGATGATCGAAGAAACTTCGCCAGAATTGGACGTGGCTTCCCTCCTATCGGCGGGCGTTGGGAGGGTACTCTATGTGCTCGTTCAATCTCCACCGTCTCCTCGATGCTAAGCAACTCCGGTATCAGATCCTCCACAAATTTGGCCACCTCGGTCCCTTCCGCTCCTTCTGGGAATCCAAGAAAACGAACATTGTTGCGTCTTGATCGATTTTCCATATCTTCCAATTTCTCCCAAATGGCCTCAACATCCTTCTTGTTAGCGAGAGGATTAGCTTGCAAGTCTTTATCCACTGATTCGAGGTATTCTACCCGCCTCTCCATTTCATCAATTCGTGAGATTAAAGTGGAGACTTTAGCTTCGGTTGACGCAGTGGTCCGGCGAATTTCTGCCAGTCCCTCTATTTCGGTGGAGATCTTTATCAAAATTGCGTTAATATTGCTAATATCCTGGCTTATATCCTGAGAGACGTGGCCACTGGATGTAGCATTAGCACCGCCATCTTTATCGCCCCCATTCTGCGAACGCAAAAGCCTTTTAATGTCGCCACCGGCGGGCGGTTTCGAGCCTCTTGACATCTCCAAGAACTTCTAATGCTATTCTCACAAGCCGACTATTTCTTTCTGGTTTTAAACCAACCTTAAAATGATAATTACAGCAGAGCCTCGCGGAGCACAGTTCTAGGCAGCCTTTCCTCGCATTGCGTCACGTGACCCTCTTTGAAGGCAAGCATAAAGTGCCTGCACAATTAGACTAAACTGTCAAGTCCTAGTAAGTAATGTTTGTTCATCTGTCTTTGAGTAAAGTGCTGAACTCCTTGTAACCTTGTGTTAAGTAATTGCTGAACACTATAAAAGGCAAAATTTGTTTTTAGTTGAATGCAATGGAACTTAGTAGAGCTAAAAACTTTGGTCAATAGCTGCATGTGAAGTAGCAAGAGACTACTGAATAAATAATACTCAACTGCAGCATCTCTTTCTGCATCTTCTTCTTACCGGGGTCTCAGTAAATGGCTGTTTAACATTAGTCTGGTTCTGCTCAAAGTTCTGGCTGTTAAAAGTAAGGACTGTTATCTTGCTCTCTTACTTGCTAATGGTGGACTTCGTAAATATTACCAAAGATTTGTTTGGATTTGTACATTTCGGAATTTAACATGAATTGGGACCATATTAATCAAGATTTATGGACTGATTGACCAATTTGCCCAACTAATTGTTGTTTTGCTCTTACAAGCAGCATGTTGCAGTAAAATGTAAACTATATCAAGAGAATGACCAAACCGATGCTTATTTTAATCTTATTTTAAATCATGGCGATGTCAGTTATAGACACAGAAATAGCAAACACAGACTTATGTTCTTTTATATCTTTAGAAACAAGTATTAAAATAACCAATTTCTTGTGATTATTATCGTTAAAAGTTAAAACAATTTTAAAGGGACAGTATTTGAAATTCTTTTCTCAGATCCAAAATTTTGTAGAACATTGAAGAAGATAAGTTTTAGAGGGTTTTACTAGCTTTTTCTATTGTGAATATCAATTAAAAATTATATTCACTTTAAATCTGTACTCCCACTATTGTTTTCCATGACCCAACATCTGCAAAGAGTACATCTATATTATGTCAATACCTTCTGGTCACTGAATGCGCTACTCAATGTTACTATTGTAATTTTCCACTAATAGACTAATTATCACCCAATTACAACATTTTTTTGTATTTTACTGAATTAATGACAGTTATTTTTTAGCCTGTAAGGGGGTATTCTACAAAAATTGGCACTTAATCACTTCTTAGGGATTGAAGCTTTTCTCTGGTTCGCTTCTGGAAATGCAATCATATCTGCAACAACAGTTTAGTTAGCTTAAACATCAAGATGACCCTTCAGTCCTCATGGTGCAACCACACAACTGTACAAGTTACATCAAACTGTAACTAGTGTTATATCTTAATGTAGACCTATGGGTATGAACTAAGGCTGAAATGATTGATCTTTAAAGCCACACTTGTCAATCTTTTTTATTACTTATTTTGCATAGGAAGCGAATTATGAAAAAAAAAAAAAAAGTGCCTCAGTTCTTAAAGTGATTAATAAAATTATATTGGTCCCCCGAGCTTTAAAAAGTCATTTGAGTGTTGATCACAATATGATATCAGTGAATGAAGTTTAAATTATTTTTATGAGTGCTGGTAAAGTATTCGTTAAAGTCTATATCCCCTGTTATAAAAAATTATTGCAATGCTTGATACAGTTTTTCTGCTGCTGCTATCAAATATTGTTGGAGTCAGGAATTCATTGGGGTCACTCCATACAATGACAGATTGGATTAAATGCAGGACATTGAGATGTCTTCCCAGGCTGCCAGCATACAGCAGATTTATATAAGCATTTTAATTAAGTTTTCAATTACTATTTCTTCGGCTACAACCTCCCCTATAGCATCCCTTCCTTTCTGAGCCTTGCCGTCAGCCAAATTATTGTGTCCTGTGCTGGGCAGCTGAGCAAAATGCTGCAGGATATAGGGCTAAGTCCCCATTCTCTCCTTTTCTCTCCCCCCCTTCCTCACTTTATCCACAGTAATCCCCAAGAGCCCTGGATGATAATGGGTAATGGATCCGGGGGACCCATCCCTTCCAGAAACACACACTCTCACACCCTTACACTCAGCGGTAATGCTGAAGGTGCAAGTTCCTATGTCTAACATTCTGCGTCCCTGGACCTTGTATCCATGGCGATTACCCCATCTTCCCAATCTGAATCCATACGTTCCATAATTCGTTATCTGTATTTCTACTGGGGCAGGTTTCATATTCAGGTGTTGGTGGAAAGTAACAGCAGAAATGCAGAGTTTTCATGGAAGCAAAAATAATGAGCAGCTCTCTCTCCAGAAGACTTCAGAGTTACTTGGTGAGATGTATCCTTTGGGGTGCCATCAAGACTTTGTAAGACTATCTATTTTTGTCTTCGATGACAGAAGTATTACATACGCCTGTGCATTGAAATTAACAATATGACTTTTAGTTTCCCTGCTTACATTTATATTTTGAAATATTTGGGTGTTTTCAAAACAAAACTGAAGTTTTCGTTTGCATTTCTGGATTTAATTACTTTTGGTGAGTGTCTATAGCTGACTCAATTTCTACAGCAGCAACAGTATTGTGAAACCAAACTACAGTTGCAGTATTGTGAAACTGTGGTGCACTGAGATATGCAGTCGTGCTTCCTTTCATAATAAAACGTCTGCATTACGACTGATACGGTTTCCTGTTCGTGGAGTATCCTGTTCATGGACTTCAGCTCAGCGTTTAACACCATTGTTTCCATTTTCATCCATCACAAGCTGGCTGACCTCACAGTGCCAGCCCCCACCTGTTAGTGAATCACCAGCTTCCTGACAGATAGGAGGCAGCAAGTGGGGTTTAGGAATATCATATCCAGCACCCGGACTTTCAGCACTGGTGCCCCCCAGGGGTGTGTTCTCTCCCTGCTGATCTTCTCCCTCTACACCAACGACTGCACCTCAGGGGACCCATCTGTCGGTCTCCTGAAGTTTGCGGATGACAACACAGTGTCATCAGTCTCATCCAAGATGGTGATGAGTCTGCATACAGACGGGAGGTGGATCAACTGGTCCTCTGATGCAGTCAGAACCATCTGGAGCTGAACCTGCTCAAGACTGTGAAGCTGACAGTGGACTTACACAGGAGCCCTCCTGCACTCGCTCCCCTCACTATTCTTAATGACACAGCTTTCCCTGGATTCACAGTCTCCAGGGACCTAAAGCTGACCTCTCACATAGATTCAATTAAAAGAAAAAAAAAAGCCCAGCAGAGGTTGTACTCCCCGCGACAGCTCGCTTAGTTCAACCTACCTCAGAAGCTGCAGGTTCATCTCTACGCCATCATCATCCAGTCGGTTCTCCGCACATCCATCACTGTTTGGTTTGGGTCAGGCACCAAGCAGGACAGGAACAGACTTCAAGAGACTGTCAACTAACAGACTATCAAGACTGCAGAAAAAAAAAAACATTGGCTCTCTTGAAGTATCTATTATGCACACAGTACAGGAAGCAATTATCTGAGCCAGCAGCACAAACAGGTATGCAACAAAATAGCCTTCTGGATGTAAAGTACTCAATTATTGCATACTGTCTGTTACTGTTGGCGTGTCCTGATTTAAATCTCATTTTCTTCTGAACTCTGGGGCTTCATTTATAAAGACCTTCATCAAGACTCAGAACTCAGTGTAGCTGTTGCCAGACTATTTTACCTGTGTATTTGATTTGATTTAACCAGGATAACTGATTAAAGAACTTTTGTAACAAGAGTGTTCTGGCCAAGACAGCTGCTGTACATTCAAACAAAGTTACAGACATACCAATGTTTAATAATCACAGTACACATGTCAGCATTTCTCTAATAATACAGCAGATGTCATACTGTTTACCATCGCTTAAAGAGTCTGTAATATTCCCAGAATGAGATCATGAAAGGTGAAAATGAAAATATATTACAACATATATGACAATGAACATCACATGATCCACAGTCAAATGTCAGCGCACGTCTTACTGGAAGAGTGTTTTAGTCCAAGCTTAACTCTCTCCCACAGCAAGAAATGTACAAAGCTTTTTTCTCTCTTCTGTAAATTTCTCTGGTTGAGGATTTAGGGTCCAGTGGTTGGAATATGGATGAAAGGCTGTACTGTGTTGCTGCCTTGACCCAGCCTGGTGGTCAATATCCTGACCGAGACAAATCAAACACCCCCCGATGTCCAGTTGCCCGAGGCCATTCATCGCATTTCAAAGTGCTTGGATCTCAAACCTTTGCAAAGCCACGAGCAACTCCTTTTAACTGATGCCCAGCAGCAACAGCACACAGAGCTGCAGAATAATTCAGCTCATCCGCAGTAGGAGGCCATACTCTATCACGTATCACATTCAAAAGCTCAGAACCTGTTGAAAGACGCATTTTCTTAGGTAGCCGTCTACCTTTGTTCTCTGCTTCAGAGCAAGCTAGCAGAAGCCTACTTTGTTAAACAAGGAACAAAATCACTGACCTCTCGTTTTCTTGTGTCACATCAGGATGGGATCAACACATGCATGAGGTCCGAGCTGGATACTCTCAGGGGCTAAACTAGCAATGTGCAACACACTGGAGCTAAATCTATCTCCTGCAAAATTTGTTTGAATAAAATTGTAATTCTAAAATAGTAGAGGCTAAACCTTAACACAGGGCCATGATCCATTTATTTGTCTTTTTAATTAATCCGCAGCTTTTCCTGTTTTGGATTGAGGATCTACTATATCTTAATACAAACAAGGCTTAAGTGTGATACTGTAAATAATGGACGGTCGGCTGTTTAAACAAAATAAACCCTTTGATTATACCTTTATGTGATTGTGATTGCATGTTATTGAATGTGCAATGACACAAATGAATATTAACCAGATACAACATTGTGAGCACAGGTCTGGTCTTATCATGTTTTTGGCCTCAAGGCAGTTGTCCTTGAGTCATTTAATTGGTAATATCTAGTTCAGAGATTCAATTAAAATAAATGATGTGCACTGCATTTTAATTCACACAGCACTAGAGGGATTCAATGTCAGACTCTGCTCTGAATCAGTGTTTAGGCTTTAATGATTTTAAGAGTCTGTGTAACTACACATCAAAGAAATAATTCAACATTTTGGGAAAATGTTCTTTTTTGCTTTGCTTCAATACAGTGTAAAATACAACTGGAGGCTGTTGGCGAAAGCAGCTGGTAAAAAAGATGAATACATATTCAAGCGATAAAAACAGTATATCTAGATCCCTTAAGCTCAGCAGTGTCAACATTGTTTAATGTTTAATAGGAACATTGTGTAAAAGTTTTTGACATGCAACTCCTCCCAAAACTGCACAAGTTCATATCAATTCAACGTTGATATGCAGAGGTCACTTCTGGAGATGGGGATTTATGGTGGTGAAGGTAGCAATGGTCTTTAACGCTCTTATCAGGAATGTTGCAATTATGATAGTTGACAATAATAATAATAATAATGAAAAGAACTCTTCTTGACTTTTGACAGCCAAATATTTTATTCAGGGTAGATATTTCATGTAAAAAAATGAGCTATTGACTCTTTAGCTTGACTGACACCTACCCCCTTGTGCCATTAAAAATTACAACAAATGAATCATTGGTCTTGTTACTGATGGTCTTGTTTGCTTACCAATTTCATCAAAAAATGCATCAATTTGGGTTTCAGTCTATTTAATAAACATGTTTTTAAAAAATCCCAATCTATTGCTGTGGTGCAAGAATTTCCAATGCAGTGAATAAATTGAGTTGCACATTCACTTTCTGTTTAAATAAGAGCATAATAGTAAATGGATATGATCAACACCTCTATTATTAAAGGTGGGGTAGGCAGGATCTGAGGAAGTGTCAGTTTTTAGGAGAAATTTTGAATGTAAACACTACCCCTCCCAACCAGTTTTCCCCTCAGCTCCTCCTCTCCCGCCATCTCTGCTCCAAAAATCCCCGCCCACATACAGACACTCCTGCTCGCCTGCAATTTTTCAATTTAATTCAGATATAATGCAGATAAATATGTCAGATAATTACAAATGGGGCCCAGTCAACGTTAAAGTAAAAAGCACTGGTGCTACTGTAGATTCCAACAGACTATCAGCTAACACAATGTTTGCAGGATTTCTACAGCCAAGATAAAGTGACATACTCCAGTATTTCTCCAGTATTTACTTTGTTTTCTTGTTTGTGTTGGCAGTCATGGCCAAAGGAGGATTTAGACAACTTTCCATACTTTCTGGTCGGTTTCTACTGTCTGATATTGTAGCACGCTAACTGTGTTTGGGCTCATGAACAACACAAGGAAGCAGCGTCTGCCTCACAACCAATCAGCACTAAGGAGCAGCGTCCGCCTCACAACCAATCAGGTTGGGGGAGGAGGAGAATGGCTTTGTTTACAGTCAGAAAGAGCGGAGCGCTCTAAAAAATTTAAAATGTTTACTACACAAAGATAACAAAACACAGCGATATATTACCAAATGTCATCAATAATTTATAGCTACTGGCTGATATTAAAAGCTTTTTAGTATGTATGCCACAAAGAAGATTCTTCTTTAACCAAATTTTGCCTACCCCACCTTTAACCTCAATCCCTCTGTTTTTTTCTTAGGCTGGGCTTTCTCCTATATGTGTCCTTTATCAGGGTTTCGAAATACTGTGTAAAAATTTGTAATGGAACCAAATTTACTCGAGATGCATTTTTCCAGTGTGAAATCTGTGCTGGGAAGAATTGGGATACAATCGATGAACACAGTTGTGTAGTCCTCAGAGACAGAAAAATATCAGAGCCTAAAGGTGTCATTCATGACTGCCCTGTACCTCCCACATGACTGTGTAGGAGAGGACGGCTCAGATATCTATGGATCATATGATGACAAATTCACCAGCATCCCACGCTGCTGTTGCAGTATCGACACTGTTGGCAGCATGTACAGACTGAGATTGATGAATTCCAGCTTAACTGATCTATAGCACCGGCAGCTAAGAGTTTTTTCTTCCCTCCAGCTCCCTTTGCATGAAAGATCGTCAGTGTCTTATTTGTATTGGAACAAATCATGCCGAGAGAATCTCTGCTGCATGAATAATAAGCATGACATTTCCCTGACAGCAATTAGTACTTCCCTCATGTCCTTGTGTAGAGCACAAGTTAATTCCATCATTACTCTCTAGTTTCTAGTACCAACAAGTGTCTGTTTGATCCAAAAAAAGATAGAGTTTTGATGTAGACGTCTCAGTTTGACAGGTGATCAGTCTGACATCCAGTCTAATATTTGCATAAAACAACACGAGACGGCTGCAGCAGGAGAGCAGACCTGTACTGATGATTTGCATGATAATGAAACATACAGCAGCACTTTAAAACATCATTGCAGAACTCAATCAAGATAAAACAGCATGTCCAGCTTGGATACCTTTATCATTTATATAAAGTAGACCTTGCAGCATTTTACAAATACAGCAATTTTGTGCCATTATGACAATCAGTGATTAAATCATGTGCAACCAACCGCTTCAGGTCTGGCAGAGTGGAGGACCTGCGCTCTGGGTTATTTCCATATTATTTGAGGAATGATGAATTATTGAATAAAGTTGGCCTCTTAGGGCACAGTCAGGAGCCTCAGATTTAAATTGTGTATGGTGTCATAAATATCCAGGGCAGACTTTGATTCTGCTTCCATTATCAAGAAGGTCTGTGTTTTTTCCTGCCAACCTATCTCTGACCTCTTCAAGAATAAAACCAAGGGGGGAAGCCCCAACACTGAATGACTGTCTTCACTTTAACATTCACCTGTATGAAATGTAGGTTTAGGGCACTTTTATTGGGTACAGAAAAATTTGATTATTTTGTTTTTAATTAACATAAGATTTGTTAGAAACTCACTTTAAACAGAATGAAGATATATTTTTTAGTTATTTTAAAAAGGAAAAAAAAAAAAGATAATTCAACCCAGTGTACTATTTACTGTAAGATTCAGAGTTGTTTGTTATTAAAATGAGTGAACTAGAGCCTACATTAATGAGCAGCGACCAATACTTCAAACCAGTATAAAAACCAGTATGAAACGCAGAGAAAGGTATTGTGTTATACTCAGAAAATGACTCTTCCAGGTTGTAACTTTGCATTTTAGAAAAGATTTGTGTACTTTAGACGAAATCAACCTAATAGGATGTTTGTTTGATTGAAAACACTATTTACGAACAGGTCACCCAGGGAGTGAGTGACACAGGTCTATGGAAACTGATAGAGGGTCCATACCTCAAAGCTATCATATAAATCATTGGCTGAGCCCAACTATCCATCCAGTAGTTAGCAGGCTTACAAACTCCATATGCACAAAAAGATAAAGAACTGGATAACTGCACAGAAGCTGCACATTGGACCTAGCTCATCCCGGTGGGAGTCATTACAGTTATTTTTAAATTATTTGATCTGACCCAGTCTGTTTTCAGATCCCAAAGTATTAGTAGACCCATTTCATAGACTCTTGGTGCATTTCCAAGGGGTCAGGTTGGGTTTTGTTTAGGTTAGGTTAGTACAGTTTGGTTTGGTAAACCCTGATCTAGTTTGTGGATCCACAGACTTGTGGATCCTCAAACTATGTTACTTTGGACAAGTAACATACCTCACCAGATATTTTAAACCTGCTAAAAATACACAGAAATACGAAATGGTGACAGTTTCCTTTGTTCTATAGCAGCCATGTTAATCATAAGCATGAAAATGCACTATATTGTACTTTTTTTTTTTTTTAACACTCTTTGTTATTCACATTAAGCTTTTATACTGAATCTGTTTCTAGGACAGTTATTTGATGAAAGAAGTAACTTGCACTGCTCTCAATTTGAGCTTGCTTATAAGCAACCATTTGTAAACCCCAAACAGCTGTATAACACCTGAAAGCACTGTGCAGTGAACAGCCTAATGTTTGACTCATGGTAACTGTAGCTGATGGATTTCTAAGTGAATGGAAACAAAGGTGAAGGAGGAGCTGGAAGCAGACTGGGAAAACCATTGACACAGTTATTTGTTATTTTGATAACTGACCTATTACTTTGCAAGTTTATTCCATTGTTAAAGGGAAAAAGAGAAGAAGAAGAAGAAGAAGGAGAAGAAGAAGAAGAAGGCTTTTATATTTAAACTAGTGATGAGAATAACGTCTCTTTTTAGTGATCCAGATCATTCGGCTCAGCTCACCAATAAGAGCCGGCTCTTTCGACTCAAACGGCTCTTCATTTTACCACTTGGACATTTTCTCATTTTGCCAAATTTAGTGTTGTTTGACTTATGATATGTATGTATGTGTACATATACCTCTTAAATAATTCAATACATCCTTTGTGCTAAGTATTATTACTTCAGCACAAGTATTATATAGTATTATTATATGAAGTAAAAATTACATTTCCTAATATCAGTAAATTGCTGGTTTTCATTGCATTTACAGACCCTTGTAACTCTCTGAAACCACCCAATGGATGCACTGACTTGCTTGGAGAACCACTCTGCTACACAAAGCAGATAGAACTCCTGTCATTCAGACTTGTAGTTTTTTTCTATGTGTGTGTGTGTGTGTGTGTGTGTGTGTGTGTGTTGGGGGGGGGGGGGGGTAGTTTGTTCTAAGAAATATAAGGATATATAAAGGAAAAAAGCTTTTTTTTCTATATGATGAGGCAGTGAGTGCTCTGTGTGTGTAGAGCAGCTGCAGGTTATTAAGCGCAGCTTGTCCCGGTCAATATGTGTCAGTGGTCTGAACGTGCAGAGTGCATGCTAACACAGTTGTACTCTTACACAGCACACCACTTTGCTGTCTCTCGGGCTGTATCATCTTAGTCAAGCCCACTTTGCACCATATTTTGTACAACATATGCTCAATTCAAGTCCCTTTTTTTAATTCACAGATTTAATGACCCGGGAGTTCTGCACATTTAAGAGGTTGTAGCGTGTCACTGCAGCCGGAGGAGTGGTGCTCGGTGGAGCAGATGGTTAAGGCACATTTACTTTATATTTTCAAGAGTTTGAGTCAAGATTTGGAAGTGTGCTCCAAAGTACTGTGCATGTGTGCAGCTACATCAAAGTAAAAAATATAAAATGAGGAGCAGGGGGAACAGAGACAATCTGAAACTGAGGGGTTATTCTTGATCCACAGCAGCCCAATTTATCACATTAGGAGAAAAACACAAACAAAAAGCCTCTAAATCCTGTGGGGAAAACCACTTTTCTCTGCAATTAGGACTGATTTGTAAGAAGTCTGCAGATACACTTGGTTGTCCTGCACTAAGCCTGTGTGCATCATCCTCATTAATACCCAGAGGTACAAGGTTTTATATGTCAGAGCAGAGTACAAGGACTGAAATTTTGTTTTTCTGGGCATTTTTTGTCCTAAAGTTAAATAAATCCCAACAATAATTTAAAATAAAATGTTTTTTAAAGCTAAAGCTGGAGCTATTATCACTTAAATGCATTACACTTAAAGAGGTTTGTTTGTTAACCTTTACTATCGAACTAAAAGCATCTTAAGAAAACACTGCGCCATCTCTCTGACATGCATTTATTTTTAATCGTGGCATCCTCTCAGATGAAATCACTGATAAAGTGAAGGTGTCTGTTTTTATGTGTGATTAAAAAGAGTATTTAATGATTTAGGAAGGCTGCGGAGCACAAGCCAGACATCTTTGATCTGCTAAAGCTTGCTCTCAGTGTGGAAACACGGGTGTTAGTAGACCTTTATTTGCCTTTCAGCCAAACAAAAATCAACACAAGACAGAGGAAGTTCAGGACTGAAGCAAATGTGCATATCACACACACCGGCACAGAAAACCCTTGCACAGACTCTTGTGAGTGACCTTTGTGACTTCCTGGAATGAGATGACTGCTTCTGACATATCAGTTTGACCTCGGCTTGACCAGGGTCTGAAGTGTTGTGGCATGTGTGTGTGCATGTGCCTGTGCGCGTGTGTAAATGTGTGTATGAATAGATGTGTGTGTGTGTGTGTGTGTGTGTGTGTGTGTGTGTGTGTGTGTGTGTGTGTGTGTGTGTGTGTGTGTGTGTGTGTGTGTGTGTGTGTGTGAATGCGGTGTCAAGGCTAATGTGGCATAAGCTGACATTCTGATAAATCTCCAGGCAGCTCGGGGTTCTACCCTTTCACAGCTGCTGACTATGTTAATGCAGAGTGCAGATAGAAGAAGTGCTCGGTCGGTGTCCCTCCGCTGTCCCACTCACTCTGCACACACTTACAGTCGAGATGGATTCAATACTTAAGCCAATACAGACTGCAGCCCCTACCTCAGGGATGAGGCCTTTAGGTTAGTTGGAAATGTGCTGTGATAGAAACAGAATTGGTGAATTGATTTTCCCGCAATCCTGCCTGAAAGTTGAATTCCACCTGGTTCACACTGCAGCCGTTTTCTTTTGAACAATCAGGGTGGGAAGCTCAAATCCTAACACATTATTTTACTACAGTAGTGGCAGTCATATTCTCACTTTATGAAAAATGCACAGCTACACAAAACCTGGACTTTGGTGGCAGCTGATGCCAGTACTGATCCAATCCAAGATCAGTGTTAAGTTAAAACTAAGGAGAAGAGGTTGTTT